GGGGAACATTTAATGCGAATATTCCCTGGGCATTCTGTGTGAATGTTCATAGAATATGAAGAACATTCTAGAAACATTCACGGCACATCCATGCGAATATTCCTGAGAGAGAACATTCGAATCATATACAAACATTCATGGAACATTCGGTGCTATCTGGGCAAATTTAATTTAAGAAAATGGCGATATACCGGCATAGAAGAGTCAGATAGTCAGACTACGGTACTCGGTATTTTATGGGATACGAAGACAGACACTCTGGCTTTATCAGGATCTTATTTAGACGTACCGGAGAAAATAACTAAAAGAGTTGTACTCTCATCGGTGCAGAGAGTGTTTGATCCCCTAGGTTTCATATGCCCTGTGCAGCTGATACCGAAACTGATGTTACGACAATTCTGGAGTCAACATCTCGACTGGGACACTGAAATTGATGCAGAGAACAGAAGTAAATTTCTAGAATGGATGCAGCAGTTAAATTTACTCCGAGTCATGAAGATTCCTCGCTGGATTTTTGGTGAGCAGCGGGATGAGGATTCTATATCCTTCCATATTTTTGTAGATGCAAGCAAGGATGCCTACGCCGTCGCTCTGTTTATCAGAGTGCGATCCAGAGCAGAAGTCAAGGTGCATCTAGTTGAAGCAAAGTCAAGGGTAGCACCGCAAGGAAAGAAAACGATACCCAGTCTCGAGTTACTGGCTGCTTCAATCGGAGCAAGGATGATGCACTCCTTCGACAAAGCAATGAATTATAAACATATTAAGAGATATTTCTGGAGCGACTCAACTACCGTCTTGTCCTGGATAAGTCAAGAGAAGCAATGGGCGGTATTCGTGTGGAATCGAGTCCAGGAAATAAGGAAACTTACTAATCCAAAGTCCTGGAGATATGTGCCCGGAGCCCTAAATCCGGCAGACTTGCCCTCCAGAGGTTGTAATGCGAGGAAGATTTTTGAGTTTTGAGATGATTTTGAGATGATGGGAGGGCCCAGCATGGCTAAAGTCACCACCCGAAGAATGGCCAGCAGAAGAAGAAGAAGCCGATGAAGCATTAATTAATGAAGAACTTCGTAAAACTCCAACACAGTCAAAAATTAAAGAAAAGACATTTTCTGTTGTTGGGGGGAATATACACTCAGATGCAGAAAAAGCGGTATACTAAAAATTTGGGAAAAATTTACCAAATTTCAAGTGATCATAACTTGGTAAATAATGAAGATAAAAATAAATATAAAAATGGAAAATGAAGCTCCAAATGTCCTCTTTAAGAATATATGAATGGCAATTATGCTTGGCTATTTTTTTCAAAATGGCGAATGATAAAGTGAGAGGATGCAAAATTGAGAATCGAACATCTGAGTTTGTGACGGTGCATGGCGTGAATCAGGTACCACGGAGTAATGTAACGAAGTGCACATGAAAGTATGGAGTGCTAGCTTTAAAATGCTTGTTTACCGAGAACGATACGATCATTTTTCATGTAGTTATGCACATTTAAAGAAAAAAAGCGTTTTATTATTTAAATGTGCATAACTCCGCGAAAAATGATCGTATCGAGCTCGGTAAACAAGCATTTTAAAGCTAATACTCTATACTTTCATGGGTTCTTCGTCACATTAGGTTGCGATACCTAATGTACGCTATGCGCTGTCGTAAACTCGAAGCTTTATTTATCACCTTTGCATGCTCTCCTTTAGTCATCCGCCATTTTGAAACAATCGTCGCGTACAATTTCGATTTTAATTTCGAAAAGTAGGATTTCACAGCTTTCAAACCGTTTTTGAAATGTTGTACTGGGATATTTAGGTGCCGAGATATTCAATTCCGAAGTTGCAACAAGGTCAATTCGTTGTCTTTCAAATTATGGTCGTAATTCTCTCCAAAATGAATGGCATGAAATTTTACTGATCGGAATGGCATCTCGTACGTGCGTGTGTGCGTGTATGTATGTGTGTGTATGCGTTTGCATACCGCAAGGATAAGGACCCCGTGGTTCGTCAGTTCCACAGTATTTTAAGACTCCACAACCTCCTTGTGGTGTGTGTGTATGTGTGTGTGTGTGTGTATGTATGTGTGTGTGTGTGTGTGTGT